GCCTTCCGGTGCGACGGCGGCCATCTTGATGTTTGTTTACATAGCGCGCGTTTGCCATCCAAGAAGTCACGTGATTTCTTAGTGCAAGTGCCTATTGGTGCTAATTAACTGAACAAAAGAAAGCGTGCAAGGGAGTCTGGTAGTAGAGGTCAATGACGCTATCGTGCAAACGTCCTATTTTAAAAATTTCGTACCCACGACACGCGACTTGGTACTCGCAACCCGCGACACGGCTGAAGTCAAACTCTAATTCTCCTCCAAACCAGAATGTAGAGATAGCAGAAGCATTGCTAGTTTCATCGGAAGTCCTTGATAACTTGTTCATATTTAGCACTAAACACTGTTGAATTGGAAGGAGCACAGGGTGGACCTTTATACGTACACTTGTTCAACTCTCCGCATTTGGGAGCAAAGTGAGGATTCTCATTGGCTTGTTGGGAAAACCACGTGGTACATCTTGAATTTGAACACCGCCAGTTTTGGATATTAGTATATTCCACTGGATAGCAACAAGGAGTTGCAGTGTCTTTGGAGAGCAAATCGATACTCGAAAACCTTAGGAAATGAAACAAACATGAGAGAAAGAGATTTTTAGGGATTATGAAGCCAAGTCATAAATATATAGAACGCACAGAACACTACCGGATGACTGTCTTGGCCCGTCGAAATAGAACTGCTTGCCATTTCCTAGATAATTATTTCTTTGTTTAACGGTTGCACATTAAAACATTTGGTCTGAAATGGGAAAACATGACGGCCAAATTCTTCCAAGCTTAGGAGTTGCTTCATGTGACATGGTTCGCAACATCGACTGCCTTCCACATTGCAAGCAATGTTGCACCGTGTGTGCGTAGTTTAAATTGTCACTCTGCGACTACGTAGTCAATCTTGTCTACTTCTTGAGGGATATAGTTGCAGGTTGCACGTCATTTAGTAGAACGAGATTTAATAGACCTCATCCACAAGTTGGACAATCTGTACATAGTCCAGCCGTCCAGATCTGAGTGCATAGATATGTTGTTTACGTAGAACGGATTGTGAATAAGGTGTTGGTTAGATAATGTTAGGACTGCACAAGACAGTGTCCAAGCTTCTTTCCAGTAAGCCGCCATGTCGCAGTAAACTCGAGTTCTAAAAATGTGAACCATTGAAATTTAGCTAGAGATTGAAGCCTGCATGAAATTATATAGCAGCTAATGGAAAAAACATTTTTTGTTCGGAGGAGTGGGGGGGG